CAAACTAGAACCAAAACTTTTGCACATGCAGGCTTCTCTAAGCGATCGGGGTATGGAGACAGTGAACATCCGCTGCTTGTATAAGGCTATGTGGTCATCCGGGTCAGTGGTACCGTCATATGGTCTCATGTTGGGGATAATGAATTTCTGGGGCATGTCAGCCAGGGCGATCTCATCCACAAAGGGTGAATCAGCATAGCAATTCGGTCTGCTCTTCTTGGTTGGGATTGGCATTCTTGGGATGTGCCTCATTACTGCCTCAACGTCGGCCAGTCTCTTGGCCAGTAATTGTTCCACAGGGGAAGGGGATACTATCGGGTCACCCCGTCTTATCGGGTCTGGTACATCCCGTTGGGTCATCCCTCGGGGGGTATTTTGACAAATCAGTTCGTCGTGCGCTCCTTGGTAGCATGTGTCTTTGTTCATCCCTTCGGGTTGGATGACTCCCATCGTCACTGTTCTATTATTCTTCCCTACATGAATGGTCAGGGGAGTTGTCTGGTAGTCCTTCGGTCCGTCAGGGTGGATGGGCTCAAGTGTTGGAGTTGGTTTGGTTTGGCCGTCCAACCCGTGAGGGTGAGCCGAGCCGGATGGGGTTTGTGTTTGGGTTGACTGGAGGTGAAGTGGTATGGTGGGGATGGGTTGACCCTACAGGTTCTCTATTGCTGGATCGTTTTGATCATGAGTCTGGGATGGATCGACTGGACCACGCACTGTTGTATTTTTATCTCCGTTAGTCAGAACGGAGTAGTCGAGCGCCAGTGCGTTAAACTGACGCGGCCTTTTACCAGAATCCGAGGGTCGATACTTTGATGTGGAGAGGGGTTGCATGGATGGGATAGTGGTGCGGAACCGATTGGAGGGTGCTTGGTTAGGCAGAAACTCGAGTTCATAGAATCGGCTTACTTTCTCCTTTAGCGACTGGTTCTCGACCCTGATGGATGTGTTTTCGGCTTCCAGCGCGGCCACCTTGTCCAAGTTTTGTTGCATGAGGGCGGTCAAAGCCTCCAGTCTGGCCTCAAGGCCTGAGTTAACGTCATCCGGATTGTCAGACATGGAATATTTCTCCACGTAGCAAGGTTCATCACGTCGAGTGATTGCTAGAGGCCCCACGGTGGGCGCCAAACTGTAGACGTAAAAATCTACCTGTGCAGAAAGTGGGGTCTGATCCCGCGAGGTTGAGGCCACTAGCGATCTGCTGTACCTGCACACGTAGAGAAACACACGCGTGAAGCGAACGGGAAACACCAGGGTGGTGTTTGCCGTAGGCACTCCGACGCTCAAGTCAGCAAGGCTGAAAGGCTAATATAGTGAGGGCTAGGGAATGAGAGATTACCGGAAGTCTAGTCGGGGACTGTGACTACGGCGATGAAGCGAAACTCTCAAGTAAAGAGTTTAGGGTGTGAAGGTGTAATGTCGATGTCCTTTGTGAGAGGGCTGGCCTCTGCTTATATAGTGGTCGTCTGGTCTCCCAATCCTGGTGGGAGCAGGAGTCCTAGTATGACTCTGATACCAACCCTAGAAGAATCAAGGCCGTAATCAGCTATCTTATCAGTGTCCGGGTAGGAAGTTAATTCTGATTAGGAGAATAACTCCCAAATGGGAAAGTCATCAAGAAAGGGGAAGGCGACCTTGAGTAGGGGATTGATCAAGAATAGGAAAATATTGAAGGGGCTATGGGCTCTGGACTCGCCTATGGGCCTAGGAAGTGGACTGGGCTTAAGAGGCTCGCGCCCATGTAGTTTGGGCCGGCTATACCTCGTATCAAATAGGGCTAATCCGAATTGGGCCTCTGCAAGACTGGGCCTGGTCATTCTTCACTAGTGATCCTGTTCCCCTATTTGGGCCAAGGACGATTTTTGGCCCTAACAGTTTCTCGTCGGCGATTTTGGCTAATGGCCGTTAACTTTTTGTTGTTATTTGTTTTAACTTATTTTTGTTTGTCTAATATTTTTCAATTTTGTTTTGTTATATATATATATATATATATATATATATAGAGAGAGAGAGAGAGAGAGAGAGAGAGAGAGAGAGAGAGTTAAAATGCACATGGCGCATGCTCAGGTTTTAATGGAAGCAAAATGACTATTATGCCCTTATGCCATTACATTTTAACCGACGGTTCTTCATTTTGGGTGGGAAAGTGTTTTTTGGGCAAAACTGAAGTGGGAAAATGTATATCGGCTCATTTCTTAATTTAAAAAGAACAAAAAATTTAATTAATTATAACGTTACCTTATAGATTTATATTATAATTACTTAATTAATTATAATATTATATTATAATTAATTAATTTATGTGAATTATAATGAATTGATTGAATTCAAGTATTACCTAAAGATTAGAGGATGTATGAGCCATGTTGAACACAAATGGATGAGTAATCAAAAGTTCAAACTACTAAATGTAGGTTTTCTTAATTTTTCAAGGGTATATTTGTAAAATTTTAGGATGTTTTTGTCATTTTTTAAAATAATAGGGGGTAATTATCTTTTACAGGGTACCCAGGTTAGGAACTGGAACCTCATTTCAGGTTCTGGTTCCTTTTTCTAAGAATTGACAAGTTCTGGTTGCCCCAAAACTCACAGGGTAACCGGAACCACTAACCCTTACTTTTTTTTTTTTTTTTTTTAACATACTCATCCATACAAACTGACGTGTTTTAATATGATTTAGTGATTTTGAAAATGAGATAAATTAAACAATTATAATGGAACATTACTCTTAATACGGTTATATTGGTTAACTCAGTCAACTCAATTCCTTTTCCAAGCAATTTCCAGGAGTTAAAGTTACTGGTATGAAGTGAACTTCCAATTTTCTAGTCAACATTGGATCTAACAATTTCCTTCGTAGAAAGGTGTATGTCTAGGTTCAATCTAACAATTACTTCAACTGATTGACTTGACGATTGACTACAGGCTATTGCGTGGGGAAAAGGGTGTCTTCATGTTCTTTATTTTTTTCCTTAATGGAGCTTCCCCAAATTCTCTGGTTTTTATAACAAAGGAGAAAAAATATTTTTGGAAATTATTCCAAATGATCACTATTCATTAGGGGTGGGCGGTTTCGACTTCCAGGTACCTGTTTTTTGAAGAAACTGAAACTTGTGTTATAGATTCAAGTTTCGGTTCCAGTCCTGGGTATCTAGGCAAATATTAATTACTCTACTATTTAAAAAAAAAAAAAAGATAAATAAACCTTCATAAAATTATGACACCCCTAATAGTTTTTTAAAATGACAAATACACCCTATAAACTTTACAAGAATTACAACTATTCTAATATTTATTTAAATCTCCCAAAATTAAAATTACATAACACATTAAATAACATAATAACATCACATAATAAGTTAATAACATATCAATTTTTATCCTCCCAAAATTAAAATTGCATAACATATCAATTTTCATCCTTCCAAAATTAAAATTACATAACATTTTAAATAACACAAATACAATAACATGATAACCGCAATACTATGACTAAGAAATTTATAAAAATAGCATATGAAAATTCTTTACTTTAATAAATATATTTTATCTCCCATATATTTTAAATGAATTATAATTTTTGGCATATATTTTCAGCAATAACTAGCAAATGTAGGTATATAATAATAGTTAATGGAATTTAATTGAAGTTGAATTAATTAAGTCAGGGGATTAGAGTAGGTGAAAAAAGGAATTGCAAGTGGGAATAAAAATTAAAAGGGTATTGAATTTCCTCATGGAATAACACCACCACGTCCGTGAATGACACGCTTATCAATGAACGTATTGGATACTCTGCCATGCAATTTAAATTTGTAATTCTCTTTTTATTTTATTTGAAGTATAAAATGTTATAAAAGCCTCCATATTTTCACAAAAAAATTTTAAGTATCTGTTTCCATTTTTTGGAACCGGAATCTACCCTCTAGCAGCCAGTTTCTGATAGAAATCGAAACTGAAACCCAAGTACCCAATGGTTTTGGCTCTACCCTAATTTTTTGCCCACCCTTACTATTTACATAACAAAAATACAAATTAACCAACATTTAAAACTCCCTCGATACTAATCATCGAATTTAAATAATTTATATTACACTCTTATAATCTATAAGACCTTAATCTTCTTCATTTAGCTCTTTTTTCACTTCTCAGAGACAACGGTAGCTCGAAACCTCCTAAAATCATAAACTAAATTAAGGTACCTTTGGGATTTTTGTAGGATTAGGAATTAATCATTCATTCTTAAGTTACAACCCCAAAGGAGTTTGGTAAACCAGTTTTAAAATGGTTAATTTTAAAGTTGATTATGAAATAATCAAATTGACAAACTAATTTGAAAAGCTAGTTTTGGTAGTTTTTAAAAATCAATTTTCAAAGTTAATTTTGTATGTGTAGAATGGCATATATACTCTACATAATTGCTCTATTTATATAATGAACCTAAATAATCATTTAATTCATTAAATAAATAATTTTAGAATTAATTTTTAAATATAAAAATATTGAAATAAAATTGCATATTAGCACCACAGGCAACCATCAGTCAACCTGTAACTCATATTAAAATCAAGGTAAAAAGTATCATATTAAAAAAAAATAAAAAAATTTAACTTGTAACTCATGAAAAATCTATAATATATATAAATACACTGAGTGTCAATTACATTAAGCATTCTAATTAATTTTGGTGCAATTTCACTACTCTGAACTCTCGAAAATTAATTCATTCAACCTGCTTGAATTTTCTCAGCTATCTCTTTACTTATATCTACGTAGAATTAATTCATTAAGTTTTTTCAAGTATTTTATCAACGACACCAAACACAAGTCAACCATGTATTTTTTATTTTGTCACATTCAATCAAGCATAGGCAGGCGAATAAACATTATAAAAAGTTCAATCATCTTTCGTCCACACATTCAGTTTAGCGCTCCATTTAGTTCTAATGATCTAGAGATCAATAAAATTAGCTAGCCAAATTCAGGGAGAAATTCCTAACGCCATGAAACCATATTTAGTTCGCTTCCTCTCAATCTTCTTCTTGGTGTATCCACTGTGTAAGCCGTCAAACTGCCAACAATCATACCAAGAGAACAGACAGCTCAATTGCCAGCAGGACTCTTCTGATATAACAGAAGGGTATCTCTGTTATGGTTCTGCTGGTCCTCAAACTTTATGCCAGTCATATGTAACCTTCCGATCTCGACCACCTTATGATTCACCCATTAGTATTGCCTCTCTTTTAGGCTCTGAACCCTCCACTGTAGCTTTAGTCAACAATATCTCGTCCAGTGACAAGATCCCCTCTGAAACCATAGTTATAGTTCCAACTTCTTGTTCGTGCTCTAATGGTATCTACCAGCACAACACTTCATACAAAATTTTGATCAGTGGTGAGACATATTTCTCAGTAGCCTATAACACTTACCAAGGCCTATCAACTTGCCAGGCTCTCGCGGATCAAAACAACAATGATGACATAAAAAATGCTGTGGGTTCAAATTTGATGGTTCCACTGAGATGTGCTTGTCCAAGTGCAAACCAGATAGCAACCGGTGTGAGCTTCTTGCTTTCGTATATTGTAACATGGGGTGATTCTGTTACATCAATTGCAGATACTTTTGAGGTCAATGAAATAAGCATCCTGGAATCGAACATGCTGTCGCTAAATAGCAGTCTCTACCCTTTTACATCTCTTTTGGTTCCACTGAAAACCGAGAACTGCTCCACAAATCCAGCGAAATTTTTCTGCTCTTGTGCCAACTGTTCCCTTACGGATGAAAGCACAGAGAATCACATTCTCAAGCCTGGTGACAGAAAGTTTCCAGTCAAACTGGTTATTATTTTAGGTATTATTCTTTCTCCAATTGCTCCATAATCAGTTTAATGAGCATGTTACGAAATTAGATTGCCATGCTAAAGAAAGACTTTTGATGTGCAAAATCAAAAGAATTGATAGAAATTTTCAGTCATATATTATAATGCTTCATATGTCGGTTTCAGGTGTTAGTGGTTTGGGAATTTTGGCTGCATCTCTTTCAGGATACATGTTATTCCGAGTTTCAAATAATAGGAGACACAAAATGCGAAAGGAAAAATTGTTTAAGCAAAATGGTGGTTTCCTACTCCAACAACGATTATTATTGCAGGGAAGTAGTGAAAAAGCTAAAATATTTATAGCAAAGGAGCTCGAAAGTGCGACAGAGAATTACAGTCAGAGTCGGTTTCTTGGCCAGGGAGGACTTGGTACTGTATACAAAGGGATGTTACCTGATGGTAAGATAGTTTCTGTCAAAAGATCAAAAGCAATTGATAAAAATCAGATTGAGCAATTCATCAATGAGATTGTAATTTTATCTCAAATCAACCATAGACACATTGTGAAGCTTCTAGGTTGCTGCTTCGAGACTGAGGTACCGGTCTTAGTATATGAATTCATTTCTAACGGTACACTTTCCGATCATATCCGTGATCATGAGCAAGGCCAAGAATCTTCACTTTCATGGGACAATCGAGTTAGAATCGCTTGTGAAGTTGCAGGAGCAGTTGCTTATATGCATTCTGCAGCCTCTATTCCTATCTTCCATCGAGATATAAAATCTTCCAATATACTCCTGGATGAGAAGTATAGTGCAAAAATTTCTGATTTTGGGACTTCAAGGTCTATTCCAAATTATATAACTCACTTAACGACAGCAGTCCAAGGAACGTTGGGGTATTTAGATCCAGAATACTTTCAGTCAAGCCAATTTACAGAGAAAAGTGATGTGTATAGTTTCGGAGTTGTGCTTGTAGAGCTCCTGACAGGTAAAACGCCGCTCTCCTATGCTAGAGCAGAAGAGAAAAACCTAGTGACATGCTTCATCTCATTAGCAAAGGAGAACCAACTGCTTGAGATTTTGGATACAAGAGTAGCTAAAGAAGCTAGGGAGGAAGATATTCAATCTATTGCAGAGCTTGTGATGAGATGTTTAAGATTGAATGGGAAAAAGAGGCCTACCATGAAAGAGGTGGCTACGGAGCTTGAAGGGTTGATAAGATCTCGGAGTTGCTTAGAAACGTACAGAGAACCTCATCAAGTGAGAGATGAGACGTTATATATGGAAACTTCAGAAGAAACAGGGCAAGGATCAACAGAAGAAGGCTTAGAATTTTCCTTACAAATGGAATCCAAATCGTTTTAGAAGTCACAATTAGAATTATTTTGTAGTTAGTTTTAAAAATGTATGATTCTGCAGTGGAGGTATTTGCAATTGAGATTGGAGTTCACACAATTTTTGTTTAAATCCAACTAATTTTACATTATTTCAACTATAGTTGTGTATGAAAGATTTAACAATGCTATCACTAAAATAAGCACATAATAAGCAAAACCTACCGAAAAGATGAAACTGGCTCCTAAAATATGAAGTAGTAGTTGAATCACAACTATATAAATCAAAAGATACGATCCCTGTCCCGTCCCACTCATCAACTTAATCATTTTTAGAAGAATAAAAAGTTGTCAAGTTTGATTAAATGGATGGAGGAAAGCTTTGCAGAGAAAAGTCAAACATCAAATAGAAATTTAGACTTGTTGAAAACAGGGCATATTTGAAAGAAAATGTCAGTTTCTGTTGTTTATTATAATAATTCTTTCTGTGCACGAATTTCCCAACAAGTAATTTTCCTTTACCATATATTATTAAAGACTAGAAATAGCATGTCTAAGCTGGAGAAGAAAATAAAATCCAACCTCAATCAAAGTTGTCTTCAAAGGAGCTCCTGAAATTCATTTCAAAATTCTAGCACGGCAAAAACGGCTTGTCTAGTCAACAATGAAGGCTAGAAAATATGTATGCTTCTACGTGCAGTGTAAGACATCTCTCAGAAAGTCACTGAAATTCTAACACCAGAAAAGTCACATGGCACGGCAAATTTTAACTTATTCAAAGAAATTTTGGAGCAGAGGCTGCTAATTTTGTTGGTTGTATACTTGTTCTATGTTTACAATGACGAGAGTGAATAGAAACAGAACCCACTTGATAAACACCTAAGAAAATACAATTATATTTTGTCCACATTCAATGGAGATATATTAGCTACACTAGTTCTGTATTGATATATTTAAATTTATTAAAAAAACCAAACTCTTCAGAAAAAACCATGAAACTGTATTAATTCCCTGCTTCCTCTTAATCTTCTTCTTTTTGAAGTCTATCATACTAACCATCAAAGTTTTCTTATAAGTTGCCACTTTACATAAAATTTTAAGTTCATTGGTCAGAGGTCAACCTTATATTTAATCCAATAAGCTCCTTCAAATGAAACTAATTTTTATCTTTTTTCTTAATGTAATTTGTTAGAACTCAAGTCCAAGGGAGAGTTTAACTCAAAAGATCGACTTGATAGGTAGAAGAGTTCCTAGACTTAAGTATCACACTTGGAGGGTGTGAGATCCCTATATAAGATCCTAACATAATTGAAATGTAAAGATTAGAATTTGTTAGCTTTGTCATTGATACATATCATATTATTAACGTATCAGTTTCCTTGAAAGCTAAAGCTTGGCGGTAAGGACTCAACATCATATTCAAGGCAATAGCCCCTCCACATTCTCCAAGTTCAGTGGGGTTCAATCCCATCCTATATTAAACTAATAAATATAGGACATGCATAAGAGTGTGGCTATAATACATATATGTAAAATTACACATTACAAGTTTTATGTTTGTAGCTAACAAATTTCACGGTATAAGTTTCCAAGTTTTATGCCAGTATATTGTTACAGCAACTTGTGACGTGTCCACATAAAAACCCATAAAACCAAATTATTTTCAAACAACTTTCGGAATTCAAAATTTCTAGTACGAAATGAACTCTTAATTGTCGAGTCAATACTGTGTTAAGGCAAAATCATAAATAAACCTTTCTGCATAAAGCTGCTATTTAGCTTTAGTTTCTGATCCCCTTGGATATAGTCATACTCTTTAGTTCAGTTAATTAAAACTGGTCTCTTTGATTGGTTTTTTTTATCTTGGTATCAGAGCACTTTTCCTTCAAATGGAGAATTTTCCTTCTGATTCCCACCAACCAAACACTACTAGTATTTCACAAAAATCCTTCAGTCCAGTCAAACATGACACAGATTATCCTCATCATTCTTCCCAATTCAATTACTTTCCATCTTCTTTTGCCTAACTTCCTCACACCCCGCCATTAACAGCCGTCACACTACCAAGTACCACCGATTACTATCAAATCATCACAGAAAAACTATGCTTAACAGTCTCCACACTACCACCTATTACTACAAATTTTCTTGCTGTATCGCCATCATTTTCTCCTGAATTCATTACTGTTTCCGGAAATTTTGGGTATTTAGATCCAGAATATTTTCAATGAAGCCAATTTGCAGAGAAAAGTGATGTGTATAGTTTCGCAGTTGTGTTTGCAGAGCTCCTAACCGGTGAAACGCCAGATTCCTATGCTAGAGCAAAAGAGAAAAACTTGGTGGCATGCTTCATCTCATTAGCAAAGAAGAACCAACTGCTTGAGGTTTAAGATACAAGAGTTGCTAAAGAAGCAAGGGATCGAGGAACATTATTCAATCTATTGCGAAGCTTACAAGACTTTTGAGACTGAATGGGAGAAAGAGGCCTACCATGAAAGAGGTGGCTACGGAGCTTGAAAGGTTGACAAGATCTCAAAGCTGCTTAGAAATCTATCAAGAACCTCAGCAATTGAGAGATGAGATGTTATATATGGAAACCTTTTACCAATTAAGCTAAATGGTATTCACTGGAAAATTGAACAATTATTTTTACATCAGTTGACGATTACATTCAAGACCAGTCTTACCATTTAACCCATGATTGATTATTGTTGCTGAAATAAAATCCATCCTTTCTTACAGACCAAAAACATTTCCTAGAATGACAACAGCGCTTATCTCCAAACTTTGCAGTAAAAACATCTGTAGTTTTCGAATGATCTGATCCATACTTCATATCACACCAGAAACGAGGAAGAATTATAAAACCTCAACCAAATTTAAAGGTAAACTCATCACCTTACCAAGGTTATGCTCTCCAAGGTCATCATCCCGGGAATGACAATGAATAATTTGATTGTCGTGAGATAGGGCGTTGATTATGTGAACTCTGAATCTCCAACGAAAAACCACCGCAAGTGTTGGGGCCTGAGAGATGTGAAAAGTGATCAGGAAGATAATAAAGAAGCAACTCAAAAGACCATTATACATGATGAAGCAATTACAAACGAAGTTTATGGTCTTTTTGGTTGTTGTTTCACAAACTAGAGATGAAGCCATTTATACTAAAAATCAAATCTAGAACTCATTTCTGTAAACATTAAATGCTTGCTATCCAAAGTTGGAGAAAACTATGAGGTGGTGTTAAAATTAAAAAAATATTAAAATGGTAAGTAGTTGATGTTATATTACCATTTAAAAACAATATTCCTTAAATATAAAATGCAAATTATGATGTTTTTGGTTGTTTAATAAACCTATGGTTGAAGGACTTTATAATAAAACTATACTGAAAATTTCTTTAATAGAATAATCAATGCAGCGTCTGTAAAATTTGGTAGGATAATAAATGGAAAGACTATTAGGGGCGTTTGGATCATATAATGTTTTTTTATCTTAGCAATAAGATTACCGGAAAGAAAGATTACATTGTCGATTACCGGGTTTAAATTATTATTATGCTTGGTTCAATTGGGATATATTAATAATTAATTTGCTTGGTTCAATTGGGATGTATTAATAATTAATTTGCTTAGTTGACAGTAATAACAGATATCCTTAAATACCCTTTTGCTAGAATGCCCTTACAATGATTACTTGTATTACTAATTAATCTGTTTAGTTTGCTGTGACAACAGATGTCTTGAGTATATTTTACTAAAATGCCCTTTAGATGATTACTGGGTGTAAATAATTAACGTGTTTGGTTAATAAAAGAAATTATCAATTAACAAAATATTTTTTCTTTGTATTTTAGCCAAGTATTTTATTGTTAAGTTATTTATTGACAAATTTACACAGACTATTGAAACTCCAAAAAAAACCTATTGTATTTTCTGTTGGATATACATTCAACACCTAACCCTGGTATTGCAACAAATATAGTTGGCATCTCCGAATTTAAAACTCTATTTAAAACTCTGATTTTTGTATTACCACAAATTATAATTCGTACATGTTTATTTCTACTTTAATTCACTTGAAACCAATTTTTTTTTCAAGGCAATAGAAAAATTAACTTTTTTTTCTGGTTTACACCATGGTTGGAATTTAGAAACAAGTTTCCAAATTTGAGGAAATCTGTTAACTTTTTCCACTTATCTTGGACCGAAACTTTGTGTGAAAATTGTGAGAATTATTGGTGCATTTGTCATATCACATATTTCGGAGTACCTGTGCATTTACATTTTTCTGAATCCAAGCAATGTTCCAATAAATTAACTAGAAGCTGAATAATGATGCTCTTTAAACTTGTGAACCAATAATATTACATAATTTTGCACTTTGCAACAGTGAACATAATCACCACCATTTTTTAAATGAAATCCATTTTACATCCGCAACAACTAATTACACAATACTCAATACACAATAATTATACATAAATTAATAAAATGCAGGCTATGCTATAAATTTAGCTTGTGTAAACCAATCATGCGTCATCTGTGGAGAATAAAAATCAACAACAATAACCCACATATTATAATTGAATAGAGAATAAACAAATCAACCTGATTAATTAAAAGACTGCAGTACTTACAAAGTAAGGATACCCGTCATTGATTGAAAAATCTTCTGGGGCAGCTTCCACAAACTTCATTATATAATATAGTATGAAATATCTGCAATCCATCTGGTTCAGTTGTTGAGGGACCTGGTGAGTGCATTTATCGGTCACAACAAATACATGAAATACTGAACATATCAACCACTAATTACCATCAACCAACACAATATGCTGTTTTATCACCTTAGGCACTAGCAAAGGCAGTTTCTCAACCAATGCTAGATGCTGGGGCATTGTTCCTGATTCATAAATATCCCTCACAAACCTGCATAATTAAGCTTGGACAATTTGAAACCCATTCCAGTACCACATCTCCAACAATACAATTTCATCATGTGCTGAAATGTGCTTGCAAATATTTGTGA